CAACTTCGACCCCGCGCTCCGCAACAGGCTCTGGCATGGGAAAAAGGGGGTTGCTTTCTGTAGCAGGGCAAACCAAGTTACCCGCGGCAACGCATTCGCCTTCCTGGAAACGTCTTTCATACATACGACAGCTGGCTTGATGCGCCATACGGCCCTTTTGCCATCGGCTTTGATGCGGCTCTGGCAAATCCTTAACGTCAAGGCCACAATGGCGAGTACCTGGCCTGGCGTCTTTTATTGTCATGGTGCAGTGGCATATGTACATCGTGCTGCTCGTAAAGAGCCGTCGCCTAGGAAGGTCTCGTTCCAACGAAAACCTGCATTTTGATTACGTGGTCTCATTGTCCTTGGCCTTTATCTTCACCCCGCTACGCATTCTTTCCAATAACTACCTCCCTGGCACCGTGACCGGCAGCTGCTTAAAACGCAACTCGAACCATCGCTGCTGGACCTCCGGAAGAAGTGCGAATCGTACAACGAATACACCTCACTCCAGTCGGCGCGAGACCGCTTGCTGAGGTTTTGCCTTGCATACGATCACGTGTCTTGCACGCGGTGAGTACACATTCAACGGACTGTTGAAATGCTTTGCGGTCAGGGTTTGGATGCGCTGTACTGTCCCAGCAGGCGTGCGGGTTCGCACAATGCGAGGACATCATCCCCAAGGCCTTCCAGTTTGTTTTTCGACTGTCATAATCACATTTCGGCTGAATAGCTCTTTGTTGATAACAGCTCGTGGCGGCTTGCGTATGCCCCTTTCAGCACTATCGCGACGGGTGACGATGAGATCGCGGCTATGGAGGAGGCGATGGCGGCAAAGGGGAAGGAGCAGGACGAGCGCCAGCAGGACTATAATGACCTGGTAGCGCAGGCCCGCGACCTCGCTACCGAGAAGGAGATTAAAATGGGCGGGGAAATGCGCGAGCTGAAGAAGACCGTGGACGGACTGCAGCTCAAGTAGGGTATGAGTTGCTGCATAATGTAGTGGCATATGTTCGGCACAGCGCCCAAACGAGTCAGAGGACTCTTGTCTGTAGCCTGGCGTGAACACATTGACTCATCTTGTGTAGTGTAACCACGCGAAATGTGGTTGAACAACGTGCTGGGCTGTGGCAAGGGGAAGACAGCAGAACAGACGACGAGAACGTTTTGCCAGGAAGGCCAGGAACATGCAGAGCTTAAAAGCTATGGATGCCGTGTAAGTTGCGGTGGAGACGGATTAGGAGTCCGCAGATGCCGCTTTAAGAGCTCAGGAACCGTACTGTGTGTCGCACACGGGCAAGATAGAGATCGCGCTTCTTAGCGTAGGGTAAGCATACGTCTCCAGGCGACCGCATGTGCGCAATCGGTAACCGTAAGGTAATGGTGAATTGTTTTGTGTTTCTTGCGGTTCGCTATGGTGCGCAGATTGTCGGGAAGCACCACTGCTCTCAAGCATAAGAAGGATGCGCTCAAGGCAGATCAAGCGGCCCTGAAGCAGCTGCAGGCGCAGGCGGCAGAGCTCACAGCCCAGGACTTGGACGGTGCGGTTGCAGCTGCGGAGAAGCGCCGGGATGAGGCCAGAGCCAACCTGGAGGCCGCCGAAAAGGCGGTAGAAGCGGCGACACGGGAGTTGGCGGGTCAGTACTGTTGCGTTGGGGATGATCCCACCTTATTGCCCGATGGGAATGGGAGAGGCGCGCACGTGGCGGAGTCCACGGACATGGCAATTGCATTTGTAAAATACTCCTGATATTGGACATGGCATGCAACTTGTCGATCCTGTGATAGGATACTTGGTATGCAGTCCTGCTTGAAGAGCCTTGCGGGTCCTGCATTATGGCGTGTTTTGATGTCTTATCGTTGGAGGCATGGGGTTCGTGATGATCATCGCCATCGCGCCTGGCATGCGTCCCCCGCAGGTGCCGAGGCGGGCGACGGTCGCGATGAGTCCAACCGCTCGCTTCAGGAGCGTTTGGCTGACGCGCAGGTGCAGCAGACAGCGGCCGAAGCGGAGGCGACGGAGGCGGACCTGGCAGTGAAGCATCTCACCAAGCAGCTTTCGGAACAGCGCAAGGCAGCAGCCGCCAGGGAAAAGGAGGGCGCCGGCCTAGCCAAAGAGCTGGAGCGGCACAAGGCGAAGGTTGACGAGTGCAATGCGCGGCTCCAGGTGAGGCATGCCTTATGGCAAGTGAGTCGCCGCGTGAAAGAACAAATGACATGGCTGGCTGACGAGTGGGCGCTGGCCTGAGGGATTTCTGCAGTGAAGGAGATTAAGGTCGAGGGTTTGGATTTTAGGCGTTTAGGAAATGGGCGTATCCCCAATGCAAGCGGCTATCGGCTGGACAGGGATGAACTTGAATCCATAACATAGATTCCATCGGCTAAGCATAGTTTTCGTTCGTGGGGCCGCCTTGAGGTCGAAAGTGGTTTTTGCTGCGACATCGTGCTTCCATCCCAGTTTCCCAGGCGCCCACCCCGCGCTCCGAACAGTGTGTTTGTAGGGATACCCGACAAGAATGCGGTAGTGCAAGGTGTTGCCGCCTTGCCGTCAGCTTTGCAAGATAAGAGGTGGTTACGACTCAGGCAACCCAGGTCATCCATATGCACTGAAATCCGTGTAGGGCTTGTCATTTGACGAGGCTGCCATGAAGGCACTGGAGGCGCGCCGGGATGCGTCCCGCGGGGCTGTCCAGCGCAACCGGGACTTGGTCAAAGGGCTGGAAGGTGATGTGTCAGGTGCGTGTGAGCACTGTACTGGGGCATATCTGCGAATGGCGCACTGCTACTTAGTACCCCTTGAACGTTTTGAGGCGTTGGGAAATGCTGCTTTTTGCAGCCTCACTACATGGCTTGCCAAGCCTGTTGGGCTTTTGATATCCGCGCTATTGCCCTGATGGCTCTACAGCAGCTCTGGCAAGGCCCGCGTGCAACTAATGGCTAGCAGCGCAGCCTTCACGCATGCCTTGCCATGAAAGAAGCTAACTGGCCCATGGCCGGTCGCAAGCTAAGCTGTGTGTGCTAAGCTGCGTGGGCTGCCAATGTCCTCAGGCATTCGGTTCGACTACACGCCGCCAAGCCGCAGCTTCGATGCACGCAAGGTGCATGGGCCCGTGGCCACGCTGGTGCGCGTCAAGGACCCCGCCGCCGCGCTGGCGCTTGAGGTCGCGGCTGGCGGAAAGCTCCACCAGGTGGGCCCCGGGGCTGCGTGGGGAGGAAATTTGCACTGTTGCTTCCGATCAGCCGTTGCTTCAGTGTCGGTCTTCTAGCAGTTATGGATTACGCATTGCGGGCTCCTGAAGGGCTGCGTCCGTAGCGACAACCCCGGTTCGTAGGGGACTAGATCCAAGTCTCGTGCAGTAAACGTGGTGCTGTGCACTGCATGCGGTGCTTTTCCATCTGTTTCAGACCTAGGCGATCTGATATAAAAGATGAGGACAGCTATCGTAAAGCTGCCAACCTCAAATTTCCGCATGTCGCAGGTGGTGGTGGACGATGACTTGACGGCCAAGGAGCTACTGCAGCGAGGCCAGCTAAAGCGGCGCACAACGCTCATCCCGCTAAATAAGGCAAGACCATGAGTGAATCCCTGCTTCATGTTGTGACTGGGCGCCGCCTGTCTGGTGTGACTCGAGAACGGATTGAGAATTCAGCGTGCTAGAAATCCTAGGAAGCACTCGGAAGTCCTTGCGCCTCTTAGGATCCGGTTGTCGTGAGTTGTATCCTACCTTCCTACCTGCGGTGCATGATAGCCGCATCGTTACACGGGTTGCGGACCCATACCAGGCGATAGGCCTAGTGCATAGGCGTACTAAGCGTTAGGCCTAATGCAGGCTTTGCCGCACTCCTTGTCGCTGCAACGCCTTGGTGCTACTCATTGCGTGAGCGCTCGTGTTCCTCGACGCCATGCAGGTGGCTTACCCGCACATGCCACCGGCCGTTCTTGAGGCCGCTCAGCGCCTCGGCGGCGGCAAGGCGCGACCTGCCGTGGACTTCCTCCAGTACGACCAGCGCGTGGCACCGGCCGTACACTACGCGTTTGGCAATGTTTTCATCTGCCAGGTGCGGGACTGCACTGAGCAATGTTCTTGTGCTTTAACCGCTTTGGCTGGCGATAGGCTTGCAGACTGGAGAATTCAGGACGTGCCTACATGCTGGGGCCCAATCTCTCGGTAGCGATGGCAATTGTCTGGACCCACTGTAACAGGATTCATTACACTGGTCCACAGCGAAACCATGTGCCCACCTAACCGACATTTTAATTTTCGCAAGCGTCGTCTTTTTGCTGCCGTCAAGGGAGCAAGCAGTGCTACCCGCTTCACCATGCTATAATTATTAATGACGTTGCCTGGGGCCCCCCAAATTTGTTCCTATGATGCCAAAGCACGTCTTGCGCGGGTTGACGCCTGAACTTTCTGTCACCCGTGGTGGTCCGTGACCCGTCCTTCTTTGGGTATGGTTCTTGTCACCAGGACGGCGGCACAGCTAAGCGTTTAGCCTTCAGCCGTGAGGTCAACATGCGTTGTGTGTCGTTGGAGGGTGACGACTTCAATCCCGCAGGTGGGTTGGACGGGGTCCCGTTTGACGAGCCACTTTCCCATGATTAGCGCATTTACGGGCGAAGGGCTGGCGCTGGAGCCCTCCCTCGCACCTGGGCCTGCTTGTTCCTTTCCGTACCTGCATTGCTAGAGGGTGAGCGCATTTGCTATCTTGGCCTTGACTCGCCAGAAACCCAACTATCCCAGCCTCGCCAGAAGCCTATCTATGATAGCAATTCTCGCATTAGTAAAACGCAGAGGCATCCCTATCACAGGCACGCTAACGGGCGGCAGCCGCGGCAACCGGCTCTGCCTGCTGGCCAAGCTGGAGGAGCTGCGCGCAGCACAGGCCGATCTGGCGCAGCAAATGGCAGAGCTGGCAGAGGTCGATCGGCAGCTAGGGGCGATGGAGGCCGCTGCACGCGATTATGCAAAGTACGGATATTGCTAACGGCATCATGCGGTCGTCCCTTTTTGCAGCGACTGGCAAACCTGCAAGGCACGGGGCAGGGGCGCAGAGGTGTTTACACCTTTACATTTTATCCGCTGATTGTAGTCAGGTAGCACAGCGTCTTGCTTGACGCTCTAGTTGCGATCAATCTTGGGCTGGATTCTAGCGACATGCTGTGCAAGGTAATATGGCTTGTGCTTTCCCTGACCAACCGCACAGATACACCAGAGAGCTTGAATTAGCGCAGCACAGCCTGAGCCTGGCACAGCAACGCGTGGCCGGTAGCGAGGCGGCGCAGCTGGTGGCGGCGGCGGACGCCACGGAGGCGCAGTTAGCGGCAGCGAGGGAGGCCGGTGCGGCGGCCGAAAAGCGCAAGAAAGAATTGGTCGAGAAAGCCAAGGTGGGACGACTGTTTGTGGGCCTCTGCAAAGCCGCGTTGGCGCGTGTTGCCTAAGCTGTCGGCAAATGAGGAGCTGTGTGCGGGGTTGCGGAATGCCGCCCATAGCTGTTCAGTGTAGCACCTAGAATTGATCAGCACCAAGACAGCACTATATCTGTCAGATCATGGTGCTGTTCGCCGGATGTGGCGTGGAGGGCGAGGGGTACACGCTTGTTAATGCTCTTAGTGTTGAATTACCGAGTCCGAGAACTGCACACGCACAGGCCTTGGAGCATGAGATTCGCAACTTCGACAAGGACAGGGGGACTCGCATCAAGGCTGCACAGGATAAGCTCAAGAAGGCGAAGTCCGCTGCCGAGGCAGCCCGGAAAGCCTTACGTGCGGCTGAAGTTGCGTTGGCAGGAGCACAGGCGGAGAGGGAGGCAGCCGGTGGCGAAGCGGAGTCGCTGAAAAAGCAAATCGAAGCAGCGCAGCAGTCAATCACTGGTAGGCTTCACCTCGTCCACTTATGAGCGCTGTCTGACCTGTCAGCTGTATTGGCATTGGGCCAGAAAAGCATTTGTTGTTTCCATTTTCTGGTCCAAAGAGACAGTTATTATCCGCAGCCCCGTAGCGTATATTTATTTGCCACGTTACAACTTGGCTCCACCCTCTCGCTTAGTTTCTTTAGCCCGTATCCATGCCCGGCAGGTGCCGAGGCGGAGGTGGAGAAGCTCTCGCAGGAGGTAGCTGCCGCCAACGAGGCCGCCACGGCAGCCGCCAGCCGGCTTGCGGGCATGCAGGTAAGGGCTGACCAAACGGGACAGAAAGCGCATCCCAAGCCACTGCTACGGGACGCTTAACTTAGCTTCGGCCTTGAGCACACACCACTTTGGATAATAAATGTCACGCTCTTTTACGAAGTTGAGGAAGTGTTTTGGTTTTCGGCAAGGGGCATTGTAGACGTGGGCAGGGACTGAGGTGACCGGAAGGTTGCAAACCTGTTATGTTGGTTTCCACAGCACTGTGCGCGGTGCCCTATCGTACTGTGGCCACGCAGGCCCGCCTGTCCGAGTGTGATGGCGAAATCAAGGCCCTCGAAACAAGCCGGGACGCGATGGCTAAGAAGATGGCCGAGTGCGACCAGGAGATGAAAAAGCTCGATGCAAAGTATGTTGGCCGCAGGGACTTAGGCCTGTAGGACATGGGATCCGGTCTCAGGGGCCTTAGGCTTTGACCTTTGGGCTGGATACGGCGGCGGGAAGGCACCTCATGACAAATTCAACCGGTGGACGTACTTTGATGAAGCCAAGAAGAATTAGAACCGGCCGTGAGTATACTGCTGGAGACGCACGACGTGGGCATAACGCAACGCATCATCGACCGCCGGGGGAAACTCTTGACTTTATTCATTTTTTAAGATCCTCTACCAACCGGGCACCTTGACCAATTATAGTCATGACGCCTATACTAAGGGACTCTCCGTCCAACCGCTCATCCACAGGATCAAGATGAAGCAGGACACGATAGCCAAGTCGAAAGACTGGATCGCGCGCATGGAGGCAGAGTACCCCTGGATCGCTACGGCGAAGCGGCACTTCGGGACGGGTGACTACAAGTTTGATGGTGTGGACATCGGGGCGACGCGCAAGGAGTTCGAGCAGCTGAGGGAGCGCTGTGAGGCCCTGCAGGGCAAGGTCCAGGCATCGGTGAGCCGGCCAATCGAATTAGGGACTTACATCAGCACGTTTCCTATGCTATCCGTGCTACAGCACCAACAAGGCGACTCCAGGCAAAACAGATGTTGTGGGTTTGTCTTGGTGAAAATGATGTTAACGAGGGTTGCGAGGGCAGGCTTATTGACGGGGGCGTGTGGGAAGTTGAGCTTTCATGGGGCTGACTTCTGTCCGTTGCACTCGGTCATCCAACCGCGGTCCAGGTGGTATCTAAGCTTCAGAAGAACGAGGAGGACTACGAGGCCCTTGTCAGCAAGCGCCAAGTGGTGGAGAGTGATAAGACGAAGCTGGAGCAGGTGTGTTCCTGGGGACACGGGCCCCTGATGGGTTTATGTGGACCCCTTGACCGAGGGTGGGACTGGAGTTCCGCTGATACTGTGACGCCTCACTTTAGCAAGTAACCAGCTGTCAATGCGAAGGCGTGAGGCGTTTGTCGTTTTGAGCTCCCTGTGCGCGTAGGTGGGGCCCAGGGTGAGGGTGTGGCGGAAGCATATGTGTCCTTAGTTCTTATATCGAAGGGGCTTGTAACGGTCAAATGCTAAGTGCTTTATCAGTTTATCCCAGTGATCACATTCTGCTGTGACATCCGTTCAAGAGTTGGTAGCTGCCTGCCACGCCGCAAGCTCTCGTCCTCCCACGTCGTGCTATGGAAGCTGCGCTCCACCACTCCAATGCTGGTCCCCTTTGGTGCCGCATGGTACACACAGGTCATAGAGGAGCTGGACGGGCAGAGTCGCACAGCCCTACAAGACGTTTGGACGCGCGTAAACACCTGGTTTGGCCAAATCTTTTCTACACTGTTACCTGGGACCTCTGCCAAGCTGGAGCCGCCGGAAGGGGGCACCTACCTAGACGGTGCGCATTGGTGACAGCCGAACGGTGAAGGCTCTTCGGTCTGGGCCCACACAACACTAAGATGACGCAAGCAAGCATGTACAGTGATGACTGAATTCTGTAACAACGGACTTGAAGATCTTCGGTGCATGGGCCGAAGCAGGACAGCATAAGACTGACTACCGATGCACTTGTCTCCACATTTGGGAACACGCCAGGCCTGTCGCAAGCATGACCCCTCCAATCCCAATGGTGCATGCGGCACTCATTCAGCATTCTTCTGACATCTTTTCGTCGAGACCTGTACGTGCGCACGTTATTCATTCCCTCGCCGTGTAGGACTGGAGGTGCGTGTTGCATTCGGCAGCGTTTGGAAGGAGTCGCTGACAGAGCTGTCCGGGGGCCAACGGTCGCTGCTGGCGTTATCACTCATCCTGGCTCTATGCAGGTAGGCTATGCGGGGTGTGGAGGGTGTCGGCTCCCTATTGTGTTACGGGGGGATCGCTGCCGCGGCTGATCTTTTTACCCTTTTTTGCCAGCTAGCGTAGCAGCTGATCTCCTCACCATCACCATAGTATGTCCTGATTCATTCACTACCTCGACCATCCTCTTCACCCCGTACTCCGCCTCACCTTGTCACCTTGCAACCCTGTTCCCGGTATGATTCCACACGAAGGTTTAAGCCGGCGCCGATCTACATCCTGGACGAGGTGGACGCTGCACTAGACCTCAACCATACGCAGAACATTGGCCGCATGATCCGGGAGAACTTCCCTGAGAGCCAGTTTATCGTGGTATCGCTCAAGGAAGGCATGTTTTCCAACGCAAACGTGCTCTTCCGCACCAAATTCGTGGAGGGTGTCTCAACGGTTACCCGCACTATCACGGATACAGGCCGCCAGGCTGCAGCTGGAGCCGGTGCCAAAGCTGGCACGGCACAGGGCAGGGCACGGACGGGGGCTTCCACGCTGCAAAACAGCAACCGCTGAGGGGTGGGGTTATTGATAACACTGTGCAACCTTGTGGAGGCAGGTAGCGTGTAGTCTTGCAGCTCGTCAGGACTGGATAACGGATGCATCGGGTGGCACATGGACGGTTTAGCTGGCCCTGGAATATCTCCCGATAAACTGTGCTAGGCACCCGCTATGGACATGCTACGCAACTCATGCGATTTTGCGAATTTGCATAGCAACGAGTGCTCGATGGAGGATTTGAGAGGCGGCCGCGTATTGGGAGTGATTTACAAGGATTACAAGGATAAATGATAAACAATTTTGATTGCGTTGTTCGAAATCCTTTCAAAACCCTTTAAAAATCCTTTAAAAATATGCTCAAACGCAATTGAGCCTTGTGCTGCGTGTCACCGTGAGCACTGCGCCAGTTGAGCACGGCGCCAATGAGCCGTGCACGGTAAGAAAATAAAACGTTGTAAATACACAAGCTACCGGAAAAGTGGCCTGACACGTGTAAATCCGAAACGGGAATGCGGGACTCTCGATAATCGCGCGGTGGCTACAACACTGCTGCTTCATGTGAAATCAAAGATACAAACTACGTCGTCCGACATGCAAACTGAAGGGGCGGCGGCTGCAACTTTAGGCAGGTCGATATGCACATTCTCGCAAACTTTTGCCATGTGACCGATGTGAGCTCTTAACCACAAGAGGGAGAAGCTGTGCCCGTTCGTTCAGGTCCATCCCTAGACATCAAGTTAGTTAAGGAGCAAAATGACGGGCGCCACGGGCAAGTAATGACGATAGCTGTACGAACAACTGGTACGAATGCATCCGGCCCGCATATCCAACGTCTTTGCAGCCATTGAACATCCAACGCTTGTAGAGTTGCCAGCGGATTACCACGGAATACCGAAAGTCTCTGCTTGGGACATAAGGACATCATGCTTCAGTAGGGTCGCATGCGACTCCTTCCATAATCTCCGGTCACGCAAATGAACGAGTTCCATAGTCCATGGCGTTCGAAGGCTTCCAATCCAGTCCAATCCATACCTCTCACCCCACCCTTCCAATGCAACGAAGGCAATGGTCATACGAAATCTTAACAGGCCTCCTGCCGTCCGTGAATAAAACAAGCGGGATCGAGATAGACGAGCGGGCTTCAACTGGTCAAAGTCCTGTCAGCATACCGCTTCCACCATGGAGCGTCCTTTCAAGCATTACTATATTCACCATTTCTTCCTACACATTGCTAAAACCTGGAAATTGGCGTCGCAACATCTATCGTCTCTCGGCGTCGCCTGGCCCCATGGCCGGTGCACCACGGAATCAAGAAATGCATCTAATTAAGACCTTGGTTCCACATGCAAGTGAAACCCCCTGGCTGGAGCACAAGGAAGCCAAGAGCGGGAACGGCCGTCTCGCATTGAAGCTGCGCGATCGTTAGGCTGGCACAGTAAACCAAGCCACAACGCTCGCCTTCGTTGTCCCAAGGACAGAGATATAGAACATACACGGATCAGCACTGTCCCGCGCCGATCAGAGGACACAACATAATAAAAAATAGGTTTTCATTTGTGGCGCTCTGCCAGGGTGTCAGTGGCTTCATTGCAGATCACCAAGAGTGCAAGAGATACAGAGCCCCCAGTGCTTCTGTACGTATGCCGCCGATGAGACGTTTTTGGACAGGGTACCCATGGGCTCCCGGCCACGAAGACTGCAGGACCTCTTGACGAACGGCTCATCAGCGGCACAAAAATTGATCAGTCCGAGAATGGAAACGAGAATGGAAACTCGGTCGGAGGGTGCAGCATGATCGGCTTGTGACCGCACAACGGCGGCTTGCAAATTGCATTTCTAGCCACACCAAATTGTCAGCGACCTGAACCAATGGAACCCGAACCCAAAACTCCCAACCGATAAACACTGTCCCCCAGTTACCGCAAGCGCGTTTCCTTGCCAAGCCCAGCAAAGAAATTGCACTTGCATGCCGACAAGTCGTTTCCAAATCGTTTAACTGAGACGACATCACCTCCCATATCCCCTTATACGAACTGGAGATAACTCGCTGCCGGGAGTGCTAACCGCTGGAGCCATTGATTAACATTGGGTACGGGCTGCACGAGCAGAGGACTCTTATTAATACAGGCAGAGTGCACATGCATCCCTTCTTGTCCCGAATGGACACTCGAAGTTTGCTAGGTGTCCGTAACCGGTGGAAAGCCACTGCAGCCGCGGGAATCACCCACCTGCCCGCGCTTCTCCGTCCGCTGGTAATGGATGGCCATGCTGTAGTGCGAAGCTGGACACTCCTGTCATCTTACCAACACCAGTACCCGCCCGGCGCATGTTCCGCGGCGTGCACATATCTGTGGATGTCGGCAGACTCCATTTACAGCCATTTCCACTCTGCTTTCAAGGATGACTACACAGAGTTCATGGCGTGCGGGGCTTTGCCGCCAGAGGCCCGCAAACCAGCGGCCTGCCCGCCACGGGGTTATCGTAGCAGTTCTGCAGGCACACCAGCTGCCGCTGCCGCGGCCGCGGTGGAAGCAGCGGCGGCTCCTTCACCGGCGCCACCCGGCGGGTACGGGTACACGCCAACACCCGCTACAGCCAGCGCCAGGTGCACGCAATCTTGCAGGCGGCCCATTGCCAACAACCTAGCACATTGCACCAGGGCTGCACGATTCGTGTCCAGCTGGCGTCGCAACGTGTCGCGCTGGAGGCACATATGCGAAAGCTCCGCACAGCGCTCATCCAGCGCGACGAGCAGGGCTGGAAAGGGAGGCGAGGGGAAACGAAGACGTTTTGGTCCGAAAGTGGAGCTATGCAGGATGTCGCACAAATTCAAAATTGCCAACTAGCAGGCGACACGCTCATAACCGATTCAGGTGTTCCCTTCAGGCCTGGCGTGTACGTTTTCTTGTATACGCTGGCACGCGAAGTGAGTGGAAAGATCTCCACGACATGGAAGCTCTAATTCGGACATGTTCGTGGGTTCGGGCGTATGTGGAGGGTCCGTGGTTCAGCGGCCTTGTGTGCTAAGGGCCCTGCGGTCAAGCCTATGGTGCAAACCACTTCCGAGATTATGGTCGGCTAGCGACGTCTGCGGCCTTGGGAGGTTTCAGGCTTAAATGACCAAGGTCAAAGCTAAATGGAACGCTAAGTTGTAAACTTGGACCACGTCAGCACGACCATAGGATTATTTATCCTTGTATATTTTGGGATCTTTCCACTGCTTGGCGCTTCCCCACCCTGCTCCCTCCTGTCCTGTCCCTCCCTTGTTCTAACTGACCCCCGTTTCAAAACCTACACGCAGCACGGGCAGCCAGTTCCTGCACCATCGCTAATGCATCATCCCGCTCCCGCCGTACCAACTCCAGCTCCTCCGCCGTCACTGCATTAGCGGGATTCAAACTGCCCAGTTCCCCACAGCATGCGCTTATGCTGGTGATGCTGTCACAGCAGCCGTTGCCATCGCCGTCAGTGCTGCAGCTGCTGGTCATGGCGGCCACCGGCTGAGCACCTTGTGGTGGCGGAGCTGCGAGCATGTGGCAAGAGACAGACAAAGCGCTGGCTGCGGCTCCATCGACACTGGGACCAGCTTGGTTTGCTTGGCATGCGCCGCACATGGTAGTGCGACAGCTGTAGCTGGAGAAAAGCGCTCGCACAGGTGCAAGTTGAAGCTGATGTTGTATGAAGGCGGGGACGCGCCGCAGCAACGGCAAGGAGCACAGCACGGGAATGGGGACTGTATCTTAGTGACGTAACGTACAAGCCTGGGCTCGTTTGGCCCGGACGATCCGGGAGGCTCGTGGGACCACCGCGATGAGTAAGCAAAAATTGAAGGAAAGAAAGACAGAAAAACTGTCGAAAAGGGGCGCAAGACCATTAAAATTAGGTATTTTATTTTACTTCAACCGAACAGCGGCACATGCAATGTTTCGGAATAATAATTTCTCTCCCATTACTCATAACACATAGCTCAGAGCACAGTTCCGACCGTGTCCCAACACACAAGCCAACGCTCAACTTCTACTTGCATATCAGCCAGTGCATGGGGTACATTATCCATGTAGTAGCTGTTTCACTTCCTCAACAGTCATCCCTTGAAGCCCTGTACGTTATCATGGACTGCAAAAGTTCAACAAACCAATGCCAAGCTTACTGCTAAACTTACACAACGATTTACTTCCAGGGACCAAGCACTTAAACGGAAACGTAGAGCAGTTGCGTAATTGATGAGACGGAGGATAGCGACTCGCGTCCCGTCTAGGGCGATCGTATGCGCACTCAGAAGGAAGTCTTTTCCTCTCCACACGGAAAGGGGTTTGAAAACGATGCTTGGAAGGGGCGGGAGGGGGCTTGACTAAATGTGTCTAAGGTTCACGGCCATCCCGTATTAGTTATTTATGTGGCAGCATTGGAGGGCATTGCTTCTATATGCGTCCGTAAATGTCGCGAATTCGAGTTCGGGAATGGGCATCCTCAACATGGAGGTGTAAGAAGAACCTGGCACCTCTTTTAGCGTAACATTTAATTTATGCCAAAACTTTAGAGCTTACATGAATACGATGCCAGCTTACCTTATGAGGAAGTAAAGCCGGCATCTTCAGCGCCCTGGTGCGAAGCGAGAACGCGATCCGACATGTTGTTTCTGACGTTACTGAGATTGGCCATGGAATTCAGGCACAACAATTCATCTTGACCCTCTGACTGCATGTGCTATACGCCTTGACAAAAAATGCTTCCGTACAGTGATTGCGTTTACAACAGCTTAGTTTACAAATGCACAGAGGCAAATGAGGAGACTCATACGGGTAATATTGCAAGACTTCCTGGTAATTCGAAGGCAACATTTGGACAGCAGTAGTTAAAGAGTGAAGTTACGACGGTGGTAGCACAAAACGCGAGCGTCATAATGCCATACAGCAAGTCAATTGTACGTTATAGCATTCGTGCAGGCGTCGATTTCGTTCCGCAGCATCCAGGCATGCTGTCTTGTGCGAATGTCTTAAAGGGGCTTCGCTCCTAGTATGACCTCACAAGTGTAATGTGTGCCACAATCCGGCCGTACAGTTACGTTTGTTACAACAATGGAAAGTCGGCATCTCCTTAACAGGGTGTTTACACATGGAAGTCTGTTAGCGACCTTTTTAAAAATTCTCACCCCGGACGTCAGCTTTGCACGTTCTGTTTCGCAATATCACATATTCTATATAAATAAATGATAGAAATGCAAAAGGTTTGACGGACGGCGGAGGGACGGCGAAGAACGTGGGGCCCATGCGGAGACAAGGCCCTTGTTAAACGTCCAATTAGCACGCAAAAGTTAAAGCTGCCCCGAACCAGAGGTCGGCAAATCGGTTTCTACGGCTGCGGGAGGGCATAATTTCGGTCAACAAACCTAAAAATAATTTGGCGCCTTCCGGCGCCAAAAGAGACAGCATTTCAGGGCTCCACATTCTGTACACATTGCTGGCCGATCGTTTTACAGGGGGGGGGACAAGGGGTCGTTGCCAAGCAAATTCTTGAGCCATGAAGTTAGTGTCGCCCCCGAGCTATTCATCCTCACAAAGCCGACCGCATGCGGTTGAAGCGCGGGTTGTGAAGGATATTCTCGACCTTATCGATGATGTGTGTGTAGAGGTGCATCCTAGTGGAGGACTTGTACTTGGCCATTGCCCCCTTCAACATTGCATCCTCCTTCTTCAAGGACCCCGACACACTCAGCTTCACAAAAAGACCCTCGTTGAGCTTAAGCCGGTGATGTTTGGTACTTTAAGCCAGTCCATGTATTCACAGATCGTTGGGAAGTGAGTGAAAGGCATGGCTTGGTACAGGACCATGTATGCGCCCGAACCAGCAATAAGCATTTTA